ACTTGGTTGTGCTGTTCAGTATATGCTGTCCCTGCCTGCATCTTACACCCTGCCACTATGTGTTGGACTGTCTCTGAGTCTTATCCTTAATCTCCACACCCTTCTGTAGTTCTACCAGCTGACTACCTTCTCTCCAAGTTGCCTTGATCCTTAGCCTCCAACCTCATTTTCCCGGGGGGGGGGGGGTATGTACTGCTGTTCTTCTTGATCGTGTAGCCAAGCATCTCCAGGATTACAGCACCTGTAGCATATACCAGTTCATTAATTTGACTTATGGTGATAGTAGGGATTGTCATGAGGGCTGTATTGGCATCTTCTAGCATACTATCTGATGGTGCTTCTCCACTGAGCCTTGGTAATCAGTCTCAAGGGTTGATTGTAACTATTTATCCATTATCTTATCCCTCGTATCAGCTGCTGTGCTCTGTAATGGAGGGAGTGGCAGTGATGTTCCAGCTTCAGGTGTTGGATGCACATCCAGTTGTTCTTCCAGGTCTGCTTGAGTCCAGGATGTAATGTGTAGTTGATCTATCTCAAGTTGTGAGAGCAGCTTCCTCTTCACTATGTTGAAGCATTGGGTAACTTACTGTTTCTCAGTTAGTGTGGATGTAGGCCTTCTGTCCATCCATATTTTCCTGATACGTTTCATGTATCCCCTCTCATTAGGTCTACTGTTGTAGTAGCATTCCATCAGTTCCAGGTTCTCTTGTCTCATCTGTGTATGGTTTGTTCCAGTAGCCCACTTATTGTCAGATCTCCTGGTTCCCCAACATCTGGCACAGACCTTGTTAATCTGGGCAACTTCCAAGCTGTGTGACTTAGTTCATGTCACTTTCATATCTGAGGTAGGCAGGTGAAGCGTTACGGGACTTTGCCCAAGGACCCCTACTGGTAGGGTAGGTACCAGCTGGGATTCAAACCCCAGTCTCCCGTGTCAAAGGGCGGTGCTCTAACCAGTATGCTATCCAGTGTATGTATGTGTGTGTGTGTGTGTGTGTATAATTACAGTATTTTATTTTCAGCAGGAGGGTATTAAGTAGCTGTTTAACTCCACCTGAAACTACTTAGATGTTCAGAGACTTGGACCCTTGTTTGCGTTTAGCCGATTTGTAATACCCATGCCTAAAATGATGTTGTTTGTGAAGGGAATCAGAGCATATAGCATCACATCACAAGAACTTACAATACCCCACTGCAAGAAAACTCTAATTGGAGATGCCAGAAACTGAACACGGTATCTTGTCCACACTCCATCCTTGAGTAGTACTCCAGCCATATAACGGCTGAGCATGCAACCCATTCTGCTTCTTCTGCTTCACACCACTGCCTATCACTGCCTCAGTCAATTGCAGCAAAGGTATTCCTGGATGACTGAGCCTTCACTTCTCATAATTCCTCAATCGATTCTGGAATTCTGGAAGTTGAAGTTCAATCCATCTGAAAAGCACCAGAGGAGGGAAGGCCAGATTAAAAGCAAAATCATTCCAGAATTGCTTGTTTATCATTAATATTGTATATATCATGTGCTGCAGGGAAACTATCCCTGTAATTTGGAACTGTATGGCCAAAAATGTTGCTAGTTAAATGTAGCATGACATAACTCAACAGCTGTTCAACTATAAAATCTGATTTTATTTCTAAAGGTGACAGCAAAAATGTGAGAGAGATCATCCAAGAAGACTTACCTACTTTTAATTTCCTGCTACAGTTGCCAAACCACAGCTTTAATGCATTTTAAATGTTGTATTTACTCTAAATGATTTTAAGAAACTGTGTTCATTTCCTTGACAAGTATACATTTCTCTTCTCTTGAGAAGATATGTTCTGAATGATATGCAAAAACATTCTAATAAGGCAATGATAACGTTGGTAAAATACTGAACAGTGACTCTTTCATTTTAAACTTCTGGAGTTTTTAAAAGAAGCCATAAAAGCTTTGATTTACCAATCTACCTGACTTCATTTTATTGAAATGTCTCAGCAGCTTCTAAGCTAATATATTTTGTTGAGTTTATTGCACAAATGAATTGCCTCTGTAAGACATACACTTAAGCTATCCAATGGGCTCTTACACCATCTTGAACTGACTTTTTACATTATGAATAATTTTTAAAATGAGAAACTGGAATGCTTTGGTCTCTACATCATCTTTATTTCTAAAAAAGCCTCTGGATCTCACATCCTTAAATCTTGGGGCGAGGGGGAGGGGAATCACAGGTAGCTATGGCCTAGCACTTTCCTTAAGAATACCTACTTTCTCAGAAAAAGATGAAAGATAAACAAGGGTAGCACAGAGCATCCTATAAGAGAGGAATGAATAGAAACTTGAGAGGAATGTTAGAGAAGGTAGCAAGAAAAGAATTGGTAAATTGAGACTTCACAACATGTTGTCTGGTGACAACCATTTTGTAAACGGGCTAGCCCTTTGCCTGTTCTGCAAGCATGCCCAGATGTTCTCAGAATGTCAAATGTTCCCTGTCAATGAGAACCTCTGAAATATCAATTCCTAGAATATAAATGGTATTCTCCTTGTAATTGAAGAATTGTCCAAATTATATTGTGCTTCCTATTTCTCCAGTACATTGGAGATCAGGGATCAGGCCATGCAATCTGAGTACTGTAGCTGTGCTTCAAAGCTTCCCTCTGCCCACTGCAGCACACAAAAAGAAGGTACAAAACACAGAAGGAAATGCGCCACGCAGACAAATGCATTAAGTAGTATTTCACGTTATAGGAAACATCATAGCAGTGAAAACAACAGTGTCCATAAAGAGGGGCAACAGCAACTCTAAACACAAACTCATTAAGAAAAGCTAAGTTCTGCTTTATACTAACAATGCTTATTGGCACTTGGGGTTTGACGCATTGGTGATTTGCTGCCGACTCTTCCACTTAGAGACATTTCTGGGATGTTTCCAAGGCACAGAAGCCTTTCATTCACAGCACAGAAAAAAAACCTTAAGCTTTAGAAGTATAATGTCTGAGATATTGGACTCATTGGAGCTTAGAAACAGGTTGCTGAATTGCTGGGGGTTTCCAACAAACAATTGCCATGACTGCAGTTCAAAGGAGAGCATTTCTATTAGGACTTCCAAGCCCTCTTTCAGTCACTAAAGCAACTTGCTCTTGAATATCAGGAATCTTTTCAGAGCAATTACCACATAAAAGTGATTCCTTCCAAGGAAGAAAAATGCACTGGGTGTGTGCAAAAGTAAGAGTAATTTTTAAATTAAGGAAAATTCTAAGCAAACCACAGGAGTATTTCATGTTAGAATTTCACATGCCCTTGTGCTGAAACTTAAATCAGAATGTTTCCTTCAATTATATGTAATCTTTCCCATTCACCTTTTTTTTAATTACAGTAGGATCAATGTGTTAAAATGAAAGCCATATGATTACACAACCCCCCAGTAAGACAGTAATGAACATTACATCAATTCAGATTCTGACTCAGAAATAAATGTTCAATTGGGCTTATTCTCTGATATGCATGCACAGCATTGCAGCTTTATTTGTCTTATTATCCTAGAAAGAATATAGCATTATCATGCAAAGTTTATTACTATTAGTAAGAAAAAAAGATGTGAAACCTAAGGATGCTAATGTGCACTATAGAATCAGTTATCATTCAGCTGTTATCTAATCAGCAAAATATTATCAGTGCCTGAGAACAACAGAGGATTTTAGCAGCTGTACATATCTTTCAACAATATTATCGGTGAACCACAAAACCCTCAACTTTACTCATTTATTTTCCATACAGAACAGGTATAGAACTGATATATCCAATTCTTTAGTACTATGACTTGATTAAAAAGAAAAGGTATGATGTAACTAATGCTAAGCATATTTAAGCTCCAATGATTTCAACACAAGAGTTAGGAATATGTTTAAAATCTTGCAGTTTTAAATCATGCACTAACAATATCCTAAAGCAGCGTTTATCTCCCATTCTTTTACTAAATTACCATCTGAAATGACAAGATTTAATTTATGGTTTGATGTTAGTCCCATCATGGCAACAAAAGTTAGGATTTTCCTTCCAGTGAGCTCTTCTTTTCTCCGCTACAAGTCTGACAAAGTCAGAGTGGCTGGCATACAGTGTAAGTTTTTCACTAATATCCACCCATTTCACTTTCCCAGCATCATCTCCTGCTTCCAGATGCAAATTACCCATTGCTTCACCTGTTAATACAAAGAGAGCGATTATGGCATTCATTTGATTTCTTGCCTCTTTTTATTCTACAAAATGGGCTGACACTTCATTTACTACCACTTCCTATCTGTATCAGCTGCTACCAAAAAGCATGGAACCAAAACATGATTGTTGCTGAATCTTCTGTTATGACTGAAATCTCTTAGAGCTAGTAGGATTTTCTGATGATGGATTGCCTACCTTACCCCAAGAAATCAATGGGAAGTGCCATAGCTGTGCTTTCCAACAAGAGATCCTGAATTCAATCTCTGACATCCTAGCCTGGACTAGGCTCCCATCCAAAATACAGAAGAGTCACTATCAATATGGCCAGTACATATCTAGATGGAACAAAGTCTTAACTTGATGCAGAATAACTTCTTGTATCTCAATCTAATATAAAACAGGACATCATATGGTTGAACTGTCTGCCATTAATAGAAACATAGGACTAAGTCAGTACAATGATATTATAATCAACACTACTGAATTAGCACCAAAGATTTTAGAATAGCAGACTTCTCTTCTCACCAGATTCGTCGTGATAGTTTACTGCTTCTGTTTCCATCCAAGCATTGTCAGTATTACGAGGATCATCCACATACCCCTTATAAGCCTAGAAAAGCAAAATATAGGGCATTCAGAGTGATGTGCTACAGTTTATTTACTGCTGAATTTATTTATTTATTAATCAGATTTACATCCCACCACCATCATAAGTAGACTCTCAGTGGCTCACAAATAAGAAAAATAACATAATCATCTATAATTAAAAAAATACAATATAGACAGCATCTGGCATCAACCCCCATATGCCTTCTAGAAAAGCTCAGTTTTCAGCTGTTTCCAGAAGGTGGATAATGTTGGAGCCAAATGAACTCCCTCTGGGAGGCTATTCCAGAGGGCCAGCTGCATTAAAGCAAGATGTGGCCTCCAAGATTTGGTGATCTGATCTCCTGGAAATGGGCGAGAGCCAGCTGCTTCTTCTGTCAACATCAAAGTGGCTGGGCTGACTCCAATGAAGAGAGGCACTCCTGCAGGTAACCTGGCATCAAGCCATAAATGGCTTTATAGGTTAAACCACCAAAGGACCCCCTGCCCAAAACTTCACGTAGATGTTAAATAATTGGGGGAGGGGCAAACTGCACCATGCCAGTCTCTCCTCCCTAACACCACTGACTGGAATTGAAATGAGCGGAACCACCATAAAACAGTGCCTCCAATTTCCAACCAATTTAACTACCTAAAACTGCTGGGTTCAGTGACCTGAAGGTTGCCACCTTATCTACTATTCAATGCTTATAAATGGAGAAGTTAATACTGTTCCTTATTGACTTGAAGAGTCTCATCAATCTTTTCATTTCATATTTAAAGAGCTTAAAAATATTATGGGAAAGATCACTTACCACAAAGTGATCCTGACTGAACAATCTATTCAGGTGTTTTTCCATCTCTTCTTTCTCGGCCTTAGTTTTCTGTAAGGAGTTCAAGGCCTCTTCACTAAATTCTCGCTTTAGAGCAGCAGATAATTTCTCCCCTGGATCTACCATTCCCTAAAGGAAGATTATCTAATCTGTTATATAGTGTTCAGGCACATAAGCAATAATAGCAATTGTGGGGAGAGTGGGAATGATGTTGTATGTATTGTAAGATCAACACACAAATAAGACCAATCATGTCCTGAACACTGAACGCCATAAAAACAATATGTAAGAGGACTCTTTGGACTCTTTGGAAAAGACCCTGAAGCTGGGAAAGAGTGAAGGCAAAAGGAGGAGAGGACGGCAGAGGATGAG